AGTGGGGGGTGCTCGTGTAATCTCACTGTATACAAATTGTACAAGTGACAATGAAGTATTTCAATTTCAATTGAGGGTTTTATATGAGCTAAAAATGGGAGTTGTTTGGAGATATGGGTAGAAATGTATAATACCACAAATATACGTCAAGGGAGTTGATATTGTGTGCCATTTTGGGTGTCATGTGTTACTTCTTTGTCTTACAGAAGCCCATGATGTTCTAGGTCTAAGTGACAAAATGCTGACTAACTTCTTGGAGGTGTGGGATATCATATGCCTATTTTCTGCTGAGAAAGCTTCCTCCAGCTAAACTCCAGGGTTGATTAAAGGGCAGGGAGCTAGGATTTATATGGATGGGATGCACTTCTGTTTGTCCTACAAGCATTTCTTCATACGTTAATTGCTTTCTCAGAAAAGGAACAGCTGCCAGGATCATCATCCCCATCATTTTTTATTTGTATACCGCCTTTCCACAGTTAAAAAACCAATGCTGAAGGCGGCTTTCAGCATAACAAGGTTTACATAATTACAAAAATCATAAACAATAAATAAACCACATCAAAAAAAATGCACAACCAAATGGGAAACCATTTCCACATAAATCAAAATCTAAAAATAAGAATGCAGCATTAATATCACAGTCTAAAATGACATAGGTAAAAAATAACAGCAATTTAAACAAAAACAAAACAAAATGGAGGCCTCTCTGACCACCTGCAGCAGTGGCAGCAGTCCTTTATAGAGCCCATCAGGCCCCGCCCTAGGCCAGGATGCCTGCAGATGGTACAAATTTTGAAACAATACAGCAATGTATTTCTTTATTACATGTCTATCCTACTTTTCTTCCAAGGAGCTTCAGGGTGGCATATCACCTTCTTTCCCACCCCCCTCCATCTTACCTTCAGAATAACCCTGTGAGGTAATTTACATACCCACTCACATTTCTCCGATGAAAATAGGAGCATCTTAAATAACAACAACAACAACAATTTTATTATTCACACCCCACCCATCTGAGTGGTTTGCCCCAGCCACTTTGGGTAACTTCCAACACTTCTCTGATGAAAATAAGCATGTCACGTGGGTGGCACTGTGTGTTAAACCACAGAGCCTAGGACTTGCCGATCAGAAGGTCGGTAGTTCGAATCCCTGCGACGGGGTGAGCTCCCATTGCTGAGTCCCTGCTCCTGCCAACCTAGCAGTTTGAAAGCACGTCAAAGTGCAAGTAGATAAATAGGTACCGCTCCGGCTGGAAGATAAACAGCGTTTCAGTGCGCTGCTCTGGTTCACCAGAAGCGGATTAGTCATGCTGGCCACATGATCTGGAAGCTGTACGCCGGCTCCCTCGGCCAATAAAGCGAGATGAGCGCCGCAACCCTAGAGTCAGCCACGACTGGACCTCATGGTCAGGGGTTGCTTTACCTTTACCTTTTAGTCCTGCCACTTCTGGGGACCCAAGATTGAGAAAAGGAGAGAGAGAGAGAGAGAGAGAGAGAGAGAGAGCGCAATCTGCAGAGGGCTCTGACTAGTCCTCAAAACAGAACCACAAACATGTCTTGGAGGACATGGGATGTGGTGGACGCAAGGAAGGAATCTTGCTACAGCCTTAGGGAAAGGGAAGGAAGGAGCCCTCTTCCATAGCTTGGCATGCTAGCAGCATGTCCTAGAAGAAAAATATTTTGATTAGTCTCTTGGAAGCATCTGACTCTCTCCAAAACTAAATCAGAGTGATGCAAAACTCTCTGGGTGAGGAATGCCTTGTGTACCCAGTTACTGTATAGATAGGGAAAGCTATTGATTAACCTCCCTCTGAAGAAATTCCTTTCACAAACATGACATCTTTCAGAAACGTTCCGTAGCTTCGCTAGAATGTGTACTGTCACACGTTTCTTGATTTTTGGTGCATAAAAGAAAGGCAGCCGCTATTGTTTTTCGGTTGGGAATTTATTCCAACTGGCAGTGCGTTGAGAATACAATTGTTTAGCCTATCATTTGTAAATGATTGTTGTAAAAATAGCATGCAATAATAAATCATCACCTGAGTCAAAATGATGTTTGCTCCAGGATTTTATGTCAATATCTAGATCTGCCAAGACATTAACAAAATTGGATTTCTATTGCCTTTGTTTGCACAGAAAAGATTAATACTGAAAATATAAGGCGGGGAGGAGGAATTACGTGTGTTCCTTTATGAGCAATTGGTTTATTGACATGATGAGTGTGCCATGGAAGATTTTGATTGAAGATGAAAAACCAAGAAATAGAACCCAGAAGAAAAACTTTTTTGTGTGATGAAATGCATAAGCATGGTCTCCCAGTGATAACTAGAGCAGCACCAGACACCCCCAGCTTTGAATTTCTTTTTCTTTTTTTGTTAGTAAAATTGCTGGAAACTCACCACTCCCCCAAAAACACTTAGATTAGATGAAGATTCTAGTCTTGCTCAGTTTCCTTGGTGCTGTGTTTCCCCTCTAGCTGCTGCTGGTTTCTTATTCACGGGCAACTCCTCTCAGTCAAGAATAAAACACTGAATGGGGTTTTGCTACAATGCTGTGAAAGCAACCAGATTTGATTATGCACATCGGCCACTGAAAGCAAGTGAGGGCATTGGCAAATGAGGGTAACTGATGGTAACGTCAATGAATCTGCAAATTTTTTTTATTTATTTTTTGCTAGAAGTGTTGAAGAAACAGCAAGCACAAAGTTAGGTAAGTGGCATTGCTGGAAAGGTGAGTAATTTTGTCTCGCTTCTGGTGATAACGCACACATAAAAACACAAGCAACGCCTCCCATGCAGATCTTCGCAGATGTTAAAATTGTAGCCATGTACTGCTAGTGGGTATAATGCAACTTACTGCTGGTTGTTGTTGGTTGTTTTTTTTTTTTTTGATGAAGTAATAATACAGTGGTACCTCGGGTTAAGAACTTTGCTTCAGGATGAGAACAGAAATCGTGCTCCAGCGGCGCGGTGGCAGTGCTCTGGTCCATGGGGTCACGAAGAGTCGGACACGACTAAATGACTAAACAACAACAACAACCTCGGGTTAAGTACTTAATTCGTTCCGGAGGTCCGTTCTTAACCTGAAACTGTTCTTAACCTGAAGCACCACTTTAGCTAATGGGGCCTCCTGCTGCCACCGTGCCGCTGGAGCCCGATTTCTGTTCTCATCCTGAAGCAAAGTTCTTAACTCGAAGTACTATTTCTGGGTTAGCGGAGTCTGTAACCTGAAGCGTATGTAACCTGAAGCATATATTACCCAAGGTACCACTGTAATAGGAATAAATAAATAAATAATAATAATAATAAAAATGTGCACCCCATCCCTGCAGCCCCTCTGAAACTTTGCAATAAACTGCAGTCCTACTGACACTTTGCAACAAACAACCCCACGTAACTGAATGATTTTTTGTGTGTTAGAATACCTTTACACAGGAGACATTTCAGGTGGATTTGGCACAGTATGCCCCCCCCCCCAGCTTGCAAAACCATAATCGACACACTTTGGTAATAGTTCTCCAGTCATATTAGAATTCTTGCATTTTTCTTATTGGCAGTTTAAATACTGAAACATTTCTTTGACAGGTAGAATTTTAAAACACATCTAACTGCAGGCAAAATAGGAGAAAATTAAACAGATGTCAAAATAAATTTCCACCAAAAGACATTTTCCTTGATAAGCAGGACTGGAGTGCAGTGCAGTTTTGAACAGCATTAGCCTACAAGTTGAAAGTTTCTGAATGCTAATAGACATATAGATATACATTTCTATTAAAAGCCACTTTGGAGTGTACAGTGGGAAGTGGACATTGGTGAAGATTCAAAATATTTTGAAAACATGCTCCATGCAAATGCTTGGAATTAAATAGAAGTTGAATTAAGTTGACATAACACTTCAAACTACTTTCCATAGGCCTGCATTAGATAGCATCTCAACAATCACAAACTAAACATTAGAGATGGGGAATGTGTTGGAGTAACTGGACTTAAGAAGGGGTTAATTTCCTTCAGGAGCATAATTTACCCCATGGATAAGATAATTGTAAGTGCAAGGTCAGCCAAGACAGTTGTTATGGTAATGGCCCAGTGCCCCACTCCTTGGCATAGTCAGGGTGGGCAGGGGGCAGTTGTCCCACCTAAATCAGTACAAATCAATACAAATCTTAGGTTCTGCCCACCTAACAAAAATCCTGGATATGCCCATGGCCCTGCCTATTTTAGTGATTAATGCATGTCAGCTCAGTAGTGTCTGTGGGTTTGCAGTTAGTCTATCAATCTATTAGTCGGTTAGCCATTTGGTGTTACCTATCCAATGTTACATCTTGTATTGAGATACTTTGACTTTGTACTTGTATGTATCTGTATATATCTGTATCTGCAAAAGCCAACAAGCTTTATGTATCTACATCCAGAACTCTTTTACTGAGCCTTATCTACTGCAATAGTAAACTATCTGAACTTTTCTCTGCTTCCATGACTGTTACTGTGAGCAACTTCCAATGCATGGGTATCTCACCTGAGATTCCCAAAAGAATCTGTGGTCCTCCTGTGTCCAGAGCACCACCATTTCTAGGAGATGTGTTCTTTGTTCTCTCACTGTGGTTATTAAAGATTCTAACTGGTAAGAGGTTCCTTTCGTTTGATCTTCTTATCTGTTGCCACGGGGGGAGGAAGCCGATTTGCCGAAGCCTGACATTAGGTGTCCCCTGTTTCTCTTCCAGAGAGAAGGAGGGGAGAAAACAAGAGCAACTTGCCCTGCCCATGCAATCTTGTTGGCTGCCAAGTAGCCCTGCCAAGCCCAGGGTCCACCAGCCACCGCTGTTCCTTCCCTTAAATACAATGTCCCAATGGGAGTGATGCCTCACGGTGATGGGACACTGGAATGGGAATATAGGAAGATTTTATACTGAGTCACACCACTGATCCATTTAGTTCTGTATTGTCTACGTTGACGGGCAGCGGCTTGCCAGAATTTCAGACAGGGGACATTCTCAGCCTTACTTAGAGATGCCGGCCATTGAACCTGAGACCTTCTGCATGCAAAGCAGATGTTCTACCACTGAGCTATGACCCTTCCTTTATGCTGCCGGGATGCTCATTGTGAGTCCGCAGCTGTGTTGAGTGACAGCAAAACTTTATTTCTTTTTCTTTTTCTAAAAAAAAATGAAAGAAAGAAAGCAGTGGATATAGAATGCTGTGGATAAAGAGGGAAGTGTTGAAAAGGCAGATGTATGGGGACTTGTCAAGAAGGTAAGAAAAGATGGAGTATTTAGAAGACAAAGGGAAATACCAGCATCTCCAGGAATGACAGAGATTTAGAGGTGGGAAGGTTTGTATGGAAAATTAGGCCACTCGCTCTCTATCATCTTCCATTTGGGATGTCAGTAGTTTGACATTTATTAGAACAGCATGACATTTATTTGTATAGGGAATGCCCTTAAGAGATATGCTAGAGTTGTTTACTGGCTAAGTTTACGAACAGAGCAGCTGAAATCAGTATAGCACATGGTGATCTGGAATGAGTCTTCCTGTCCCAGTCATCTCATGTGTCTGCCATCGTCTGCTGCTAAGTGAACCTGTCAATTGTGGGCCTTCTCCTACCTCAGTGCCCAGCCCCTCCTTAGAAGGATGCATTGGAAGCCACCAGGAGCTAAGCAAATACATTTCGGAAAATAGGAAGATGGGTCAGGCCAAAGTCCCATCTGTTCCAGTGACCTGTTCCCAAAGTAGCCAAGCATATGCCCATGGGAAGCCTATGAGCAGGATCTGAGCGCAACAGCACTCTCTCCAGTTTTGATTCACAACTAATGTACCAGAGGAGGGACATGGATGGTGCTGTGGGTTAAACCACAGAGCCTAGGACTTGCTGATCAGAAGGTTGGCGGTTTGAATCCCCGTGATGGGGTGAGCTCCCATTGCTCAGTCCCTGCTCCTGCCAACCTACCAGTTCAAAAGCATATCAAAGTGCAAGTAGATAAATAGGTACCACTCCGGCGGGAAGGTAAACGGCGTTTCCGTGCGCTGCCCTGGTTCGCCAGAAGTGGCTTAGTCATGTTGGCCACATGACCCGGAAGCTGTACGCCGGCTCCCTCGGCCAGTAAAGTGAGATGAGCGCCGCAACCCCAGAGTCGGCCACAACTGGACCTAATGGTCAGGGGTCCCTTTACCTTTACTGTACCAGAATTCAGAGGCATACTGTGTCTGACAGTGGAGGCAGAGTATAAGATCATGGCTAGGAGCAATTGATAGCCTTCTCCTCTATGAATTTGTCTAATCCTCTCTTAAAGTCAGTGCTTTTTTCTGGGGGGACACAGGGGTATGCATACCCCTAAACATTTTGTGAATCTAATGGGAGAAGAAACTAATAATTTAAAATTCTTCTCTAGCACGGTGAATTATTGTACAGTGGTACCTCAGGTTACAGACGCTTCAGGTTACAGACTCCACTAACCCAGAAATAGTACCTCGGGTTAAGAACTTTGCTTCAGGATGAGAACAGAAATCATGCCGCGGCGGCACAGCAGCAGCAGCGGGAGGCCCCATTAGCTAAAGTGGTGCTTCAGGTTAAGAACAGTTTCAGGTTAAGAACGGACCTCCGGAACGAAATAAGTTCTTAACCTGAGGTACCACTGCATACAAAATGGATATTACAATGGAAAATATTTGGAAAAAAAAACCCAATAAAAATTATTATAAAAAGAAGAAGCAGCAGCAGCAATATAGGAAGCTGCCTTAAATGGGGTAAGTCCATTGGTCCACCATGCTCAGTATTGTCCATTCTGATTGGCAGCGGCTGTCCAGAGTTTCAGGCAGGGGTCTTTTTCCAGCCCTACCTGCTGAGGATTGGATGGGAGACCCTTTCAATGCAAAGCACGCACTCTACCACTGGAAGGAAAGTTTCTCTTCTCTAGTTTAATAACACATGGACTGCAGCACATCTTCAGCTCCCGTGTGCCTAATTGAGATGTAATACTGCAGAAGAGTTTGCAGCAAAAAGCTCAGAATGTTCCTGGTTTACGTTGGCGTCAGGTGGTGTCGCGATGAAAAATCGTATGTATTATGGAAAGCAGGTCCTTTCATGATCTTATGCATATGCAATATTTCTTCATTTGTGTTTACTTGGAAGATGAAAGGAAATGTTATTCAAAAAGTTGTTTCTTTCTTTTTCTTTTTTTTTTAAAAAAAGATATATGAAATTAGCTCACTGAGGGCTTAATTATCCTTTTCTTCCCTGATGGGAATCAACGCTATTGGCGGTTCACAGACCTGTTCTCTTGACAAATCAAGTTGTTGGTTGAGGCATGAAGTGTTAGATTATGATCGACTCAGCGTGACATTGTGATTCATGGCTACTATATTGCAGAGGGAAAGGGAGGGATGGATTTATGCTTCATCGCCGCTTCACATTCGTGCCGAGACAAGTGCCTGTTTCTGCTCAACCTCAGGAGTTCACGTTCCGCAACTTGGGATTGAACAATATTACAAATGCTCAAACATTTGTGGAACAAGTGAGATTAAATAAGGCTGAGAAGCAGCCTCTGCTTCTCCTCCATGTTGAATCCTTTTTTCTTTTTAGCAGAAGAAAATGCTACACTCGACGTTCGGAGCCGAGAGAGACATCGGAGTAGTTGAAATTATGAAGCTGATCTGTTCTGAGTCAACTCATCAGTTAAGATGGACGTGCATCCTAATTCACAGAGGATAGTCCTCCGTTTGAAGGGTTGCCTGGCCCAAGTCTGATTTAAAAATAAAGAAAACGTAAGAATGGAGAGCAGGAGGGGCCTTGGAGTTGTCAATCACTGTCATCCAACCACTGGCATGCCAAGCTTTTCATAGTTCAACCAAGCTCAAAGCAGCTTACAACAGAATTACAAAAATATATACCAAAAGTTAAGCACAGTAGAGCCTCGGGCTACGTTACTCTCAAGTAACATAAACTTCGGGTTGCAAAAGTGGCAAACCAGAAAGTATTTTTCCAGATTTCACTGCTCGCGCATACGCAGAAGCGCTCTATTGCGCCGCGCACATGCGCAGAAGCGGCGCCTCTGGATACAGATTTTTCAGAGTGCGCACGGATCCCTGGAACTAATTAAATTCGTATCCAGAGGGTCCACTGTAGTCATAAGGAATAAATGAAAGCAAATCAATTAGTATACAGTGGTACCTCAGGTTAAGTACTTAATTCGTTCTGGAGGTCCGTTCATAACCTGAAACTGTTCTTAACCTGAAGCACCACTTTAGCTAATGGGGCCTCCCGCTGCTGCCACGCTGCCAGAGCACGATTTCTGTTCTCATCCTGAAGCAAAGTTCTTAACCCGAGGTACTATTTCTGGGTTAGCGGAGACTGTAACCTGAAGTGTATGTAACCTGAAGCGTATGTAACCCGAGGTACCACTGTACAATAAAATTCATAATAATGTCTAACAACAAAGGTACAAAATACTAATACCAATTCAAAAACACACACAGAAAAAAAGCAGAATTAAATTTTAGGCAATGGAGGTGGCAGGTGTGTGCGCCATTTTCTGTCTTGCCTCAAGCAGCAAAATGTCTCGGGCCAGCCGTGCTCACATGAATCATCTTAAAACAGGAATGGGGAACTTCTGCTCTGGAGGCAAGATGTGGCCCTCTTGCCCTCTCTGTCTAGCCATTGGCACTCTCCCCAGGCCATGTTGCTCACTGGGCCTGCACTGCACCCTCCTTTTGTGGTTTTGCCTGATCTGACCCTAATAGGGCCACTGACTTGCCTGGAAGGGGATAGGAAAAGGTGTTTGAGAGCATGCGTAGAAACTAGTTTGTTGAAGAAAGGTAAAGTTTACATTTATTGCTCTGCTGACTTTTGCCTTTGACCCTGCCCACCATCGTCATGTGACCCCTGGAAGGTTGACCGGATTTGAATGTGACACTGTCAGAAAAAGTCCAACCCCCCTACTGTCTTGAAACAGTCAGGACTGGGCTTTTTTCAGCTGGAACTCACTGGAACTCAGTTCAGGCTCCTTTCAGTGTGCCAGTGTGGTGTAGTGGTTAAGAGCGGTAGTCTCGTCATCTGGGGAACCTGGTTCGCGTCTCCGCTCCTCCACATGCAGCTGCTGGGTGACCATGGGCTAGTCACACTTCTTTGAAGTCTCTCAGCCCCACTCACCTCACAGAGTGTTTGTTGTGGAGGAGGAAGGGAAAGGAGAATGTTAGCCGCTTTGAGACTCCTTCGGGTAGTGATAAAGCGGGATATCAAATCCAAACTCTTCTCTTCTTTGTCTTCTCAGGTGGGTGCCATTGCCATTATGAGTTGACAAGGGAGGTGTTCATTAGGGTGGTTCATAAAAAACTTAAAAAAAAAAAGCCTGCTCCAAAGGTCTAATCTTGCTGCAATAGGGATTATATAGCTATATCTGAAATTTCACGCATATCAGTTAATATCTTGACCCTGATCCACGGAATTGAAATTTCAGCCTTCACAACATAGGAAAACGGCCAAGTAAACAGCTATTTTTGTGGAAGAGGGTCAAGATAGTGTTCATGGTGAGTTCCGGCACCTCTTTTTCTAGAAATATATCACCAGTGGGGGAATCAAATCAAAAGACCAGGAAGAAATCTGAGAAAGATTAGGCTGAACAATGTCTGCCCAGCTCAGTATGGGGTGTGGGTGTTAAACTATCAGAAACAGGCAAGCGCGAAAGATTTATACGATCTGAGGTGAAACCAGTGGTGGGAATGTAAGAAGGTGAAAGGCTTCTGGGAAATGATATATAATGAACTGAAAAAAATGTTGAAATATACATTTGTTAAGAAACCAGAGGCATTTTTGTTAGGAATGGTAGGAAATGAAATAAACAGAAAATATTATAAGCTTTTTTTATACGCAGTAACAGCGACAAGAATACTTCTAGCCCAAAAATGGAAACAAGAAGAATTACCGTTGATGGAAGAATGGAGAATGGAGTTAATGGAATACGCAGAACTTGATAAATTAACAGGAAAGATCTGCAGCCTACGAGACCACAGGTTCACTGAAGACTGGAGTAAATTTGTAGACTATTTGAAAAGTATATGCGATGAACAAATAACGTTTGTAGG